GCATCCTCTGCTCACTTACCATGCAAGATGTTATTGTATTTAAAGCTGTAACAATTAATAGGCGATTTATTTGCTAAGCAGTCATGAGAACTGTCAGTAAATATCGTTTTTTAGCATCCGAAAATCTTTGATTTCCTGCATTTTTCAGTATTATATTCAAATGTGTATATTATATGTGGGGTTTGGACTTAAAAAGCAGGACCTTTTCACTATTTTCTTACATTTTATAAGCCAAAGCATCTAAAAAAATGTAAAATAATCATTACTTGCAGCCCTAAATATATTATGATATTTTGCCTAATGCCTAAAAATGTTGTCTCTTAATCATGAATCAAATTAGACGTCTTCCCGTTATGACTGCAACCAAATGTCTTTATCGAGAAGTAACATAAGAAACATGACGAAGTCCTTGGTAACTTCCTCGTAACTCTAAGTATTTTTCCCTGACACCTTGCAACATGTTTTGATTTCATGTCTTTAAAGCTTAGTGTAAGACGTAAGGGAAAAGTTCCCTGACTGAAAAGCTTTAACTATGATTAGTAGGACCCATGCAGCTTTCCTCCCCACAGGCATAGCTGCAATCACTTCCTAAAGATCCCCCTCTGAGCAGCAATAATAGCACGATATTTACATGTTCCCCGCACATTATATACCAGTAATGATATATCTGTCACAAAGTGCCGGCCCTGACTGAGGCTTGGAGGGTAATTAGCTTTGTGCAAGAAAATGGTGGAGACATTTCTCTCAAATCAATCTGCTGACGGCTACGGTGATATATCAGAACGTGTATGTATATACGAAATGTGTTTTAACATGAATTCAGCCATGCTATTTGTTCTTTGTGTTTAAAGATGTTGTTGTAATCTGTCAGCATGCTAGCATTTGCTTTGCCTGAACACAAGCTACAGCTGAGGCTAATGGGTTGACCAAATAACTGGACAAATGCACATTTTTACTAAGACTTTCCAGATAGATTTGATGTCTTTTTAACACAACTGAAGCATCACAGTCTGCACAAAAGCCTTCTTGAAAGTCCGTAGAAGTCAGACTAAGGTTTCTTAATCCATCCAGTAGTTGTAGAGATCTTTCTTATTTGGACCAAAGTTGAAGAAGTGACTTATCGAAAGACATTGCAAGGCTTAACATCTTCAAATGAAAGCATCACATGCTGGACTTTTTGCTTATTGTATATAGGGCTAAAATCATTTCAGTAGACATCTCGATGCTGTTGAGACAGACGAGTCATACTGTATATTTAAAGATATAATCAGCACTTCTCAGAGATGGAGTACTCGAGTCCTGGACTCGGACTCGTGACTCGACTCGGACTCGCGCACTGATTGACGCGACTCCAACTCCTTGGGTGACTCGGACTTGGACTCTGATTTGACTACGACTCTCCCTTGGTGACTTGGACTCGGACTCGAACACAGGTAATGATGACTCGGACTCGACTCGGACACTCCTTGGGTGTCTTGGACTTGGACTCAGACTCGAACACAGGTAATGATGACTCGGACTCTGACTCGGACACTCCTTGGGTGACTCGGACTTGGACTCGAACACAGGTAATGATGACTCTGACTCGACTCGGACACTCCTTGGGTGACTCGGACTTGACTACGACTCTCCCTTGGTGACTCAGACTTGGACTCGGACTCGAACACAGGTAATGATGACTCGGACTCGACTCGGACACTCCTTGGGTGACTCGGACTCGACTACGACTCTCCCTTGGTGACTCAGACTTGGACTCGGACTCGAAGAGTGGTGACTCGAGAGTGACTTGGACTCATGAATTGGTGACTTGACTACAACACTGGCACTTCTCAATCACTCCTGTCATCACTGCTGCCACAGCGCTTAACCCCTTATTATGAATCGTCTCACAATGTGTCTTAAAAGTGGAAACATCAGGGGATTTTTCTCTTTTAATTCTGAAAACCTCATCTAAAAATGGCTTTGTGTTGGGAGGTGTAAATGCTTACACTTTAAACCTATATTCCCAGAGCAGCTGACGTTAGAAACAAAATGCAACTGACCTCCTGTAGGTACATATGTTTGTTTTGAAGAACAACTCAGCTCCCTTCACTTTGTGATCTTTACTAAGCAGACAAAGCCTGAACATCCATATGCGTGCACACTGAGAGTAGATATGCATATCTTCTGTATTTCAGAGTTGAATCTGAATACTTTAGGAAACACATGTAACAGTATGATGGGCTGTTAAAAGTGTTAGAGGCTTCAAAGGGACATTTGAATACCTAAATAACCATAGCTTGTTGAAAATGGGTGACATTTCTTTTTAATAGACAAATATTTCCAAAGACTGTGTTCTCTACAGTTTATAATACATAATTATAATTAAAAGAAGAAATTGACAAAAATCAAGATAATATTTGATTAATTCATTAAAAAATACTATGCTCAATAAATACATGAGGAAACGGAACAGAAATAAACTCCAAAAAATGCAGATATTTGATTTGTTATGTGATTTCCCCCCAGACAAGCAACAAGGAGAAGTCGTATTTGAATCTGACTTCATTTCCCTCATAAGTGTTTTCCCAGGCAGAGAAGCTCACTCATAACTGGAGTGTTTAGCAGTAATATGGAAATATCATCCTGCAGGAGAGACGGGAGATATTAGAGCAACAGAGGAGCATAGTTTACAACTTGGAGGAAGAACATGTTGCTTTGGGGGGTTTTTACAGACGTGAAAACATTTGGTAGCGATTAGGAAACACTGGTAACATCATAACACTGTTTGCAGTAAAGATAATTGCACACCGAGAGAAGTATGACTGCAATCATGTTTGCCATCAATTATTAAAGAAATAAAGCGCTCTCCTGCATGATGGTGATTGCTCTTCGATGGCTATCCCCTAAATGAGACTATTTATATAATTAGTGTGGTTTGCAGCACAGGGCACAACGAGGCTCGCTCATTATCGCTGTCACTCATGTGTTCATGTGAAATTGCTTCAACTTGTCAAATGCGCTCATTATTTATTTGTTGTTTATCTGTTGTTTGTTTACATCGATTTGTTAGCGGTCGTGTTTATACCCAGCAATCATCTGCATGTGATGATTTCTTGCTTTAATGCTAAACATATCAGAGGTGTGAGTCAGGACTCAGAGAGACACGAGGAGAGCTGGAGCTTTGATGGCAAACACCGACGGGTTTATTTGGAGCTTCGGCCGGAGAATTTACAAGACATGTCAGAGGGTCAGAGGTTCTGACTTCACGGGAGAGTTGCCACGTCAACTCTGAAGAACTCTACCCCAGACCCGTGTGTTTAGCTAGTTCAGAGAGAATCATCAACACTGCTGCATAACAAGATAGAATCATAACACCTCTGTCAGCTGACGCCAACAGGCAGGAACAGGGAGACACAACGAGGAGGAGTATGGCGCAGTGGGTTGTGTGTTGGTTTTCGGATCAGGGGATCACAGGTTCAAACCCCACTGCAGTCAGCATGTCGTTGTGTCACTGGGCAAGACACTTCACCCCAAATTGCTCCTGTGGGGATTGCCCACAGTATTGTACTCAATATGTCACTTGTTAGACGCTTTTATCCGACTTACATACTTGTACGTCGCTTTGGATAAAAGCATCTTAACACGTGACATGTAATGTAAAAAACACTGAGAGCACAGCAGCCAAGGTTACAGGTGCTGGACAGTATGAACTGATGAACTGGGTCAAAGTTATGGGCCTTAGAAAATATTTCCCCCAACAAGAGCACTCCGCTCTGCATCAACCAAACGGCTCGCTGCACCCTCGCTGCGAGGGGGACCCAAGATCCCATCAGCAAAAACACGTGGGTTTGCTATCCTGGCTCCAAGATGGTGGAATGAGCTCCCCATTGACATCAGGACGGCAGATAGCTTACACACCTTCCGGCGCAGACTGAAAACTCATCTCTTTCGACTTCACTTCGAGCGATAGAACTATTAACAAAGCACTTATATACTAATAAAGGGCTGGCTTTTCTAAAGCCAGTTGAGTAGCACTTGAAATGTTTTGCTCTATGAAACCTGATGTACTTTATGATTCTGTTTTCTTCAAGGTTGTATTTTGTTGGTCGAACGCACTTATTGTAAGTCGCTTTGGATAAAAGCGTCAGCTAAATGTAATGTAATGTAATGTAAAAGAGGCTCCAGCTTTAAAGAGGACATATTCAGCTTGTTGGGGTTTCCTGTTGTATAGGTTTTAGTGCATGTAAAGGGTCTGCAAAGGCTACAATCACTGTGTTGCTTCACATTGTACGCTAAGGGGCGGGACATCTCTAAGCGGTTGACTAATCACAACAGAGCCGTCCAGCTAACCAATCAGAGCAGACTGGGCTCTGGTTTCAGACAGAGGCTGAAAAGAGGTGCTGCAACACAGGCAGTATGAGAACAATAAAGACAGTGGCACTACAAACTAATATGAAGCTGAACATGAGTAAAATATGTTCTCTTTAAAGCATTTCCACAGGTCATTGTCCCCATTATCAGCTCCTCCATGGAAAAGCACTTTGACACTGAAGTGACCTAACTCAGAAATATACAAGAGATGTGCACTCTATAATCTTACACCACAAAATGACCTTTAAGAGCCCATTATTGTATTTTTCCTACATACTTTTCTCTATAAAGAATGACATCTTGCAATAAATCCTCCCCAGGTTTTACCATATTGTGATTTAGAGGCATCCTTTAGGCCAGTTGGGTGGAAACAGGTGAAGTATGTCACTGAAATTAACAATTCTTACACTGAGTAATCCATTGAATGACATGTTAGAGTGGATTCACTACTGCAGATTTAAGTTAAGGGTAATTGCTCACTTGGTCTGCAGGCCACTGAAAACTCGCTGTATAAATTAGTTTAAATCAGGTATATATCATGCATACAATGAAATCTGCATCGCTGCATTAAACTTTACTTTATTCCTGGCCTCAAACTTTTATGTCTTTTAACTTTCTTTCGCCTAATCTGGTTTGTTTTTTTACAGACGGCTACCCACGAGACGAGATTATTTACAAGTGGAGTCGCAACTCGGTGGAGACTTCGGACCAGAAATACTGGAGGCTCTACCAGTTTGATTTCATGGGGCTCAGAAACTCCACGGATGTTCTCACGACAACAGCAGGTAAGAACCATGATCTAATGTGCTGGGAAGCTTTTTATTCACTGTATCTGAGGTCAAAGGTCAACCTGGCTTTCTGTTCAGTAGCTTTGGAAATAAAACTTGACTACCTCTGTATCTTCACCCAGGTTAACATGAGGCCATACATGTAATCGTAAAACTACAAGCTCATAAGTATTCCCCTCCTTCTCCACTGACATTAATCACCCTAGATTAAAGATTAAAAAGGAAGTTTAATTATTCAGCCATTTTGTTCCTCTCGTCCCATGCTCTCAGCGCCGTTATTAGGCCTTCCCATGATTTAATTTACGTGTGTTTGAGAGGCACGGAGACATATAGCTGGTGCCCGTAATTATACCCACAACGGGCCCGGGGTGGACGCGCTCTTAATCAATTTTTAATGCTTTCACGTGACGTGTTTTAACGGCTTAATAAGCGGAACATTATGAATGAGGGAGGTGGAGAAAGGGCTGAGTTGTTAACCCCACTTAACCTTGTGTATGAGCTGCGGATATTCCCCCTTAGTTTGTGCCATGCAGGCTTTTGTCTTTGCTGCATAACGTGACCTATTTCTGCTTTCTAAGAACCTCCATTCATGAATATTCTGGGAACAGGCGTACTTGGTGTGATTAGGGAGCGATAACAAGGAGTGGCATCAAATTATTTAATGAGCTCAGTGGAAATTAGTCGAACAGCTTCATTTTGTGAAATGTTAAACGGCGGGGGTGATTGTCCCGGTACTCAAACACGACATCAAATCGTTTTTTACACTCAAATCCTGTAAGCATAGTGTTTATATCTAGAGAGAACAAGTATTTATGATGAGCATCTTGAGACACATTGATGGCCGTATAGATGACAACAAATCCCAGCTAATTTTCTACCACCATGCTCGAAAGCAACCTCCACATGTGCGTCATGCTGTTTGAGAAAAATATTTTCCAGTTTGTTTCCTGGTATCACTCCCCTGTTTCTCCGTGCAGGAGCTCCATCTCCTCACGCCTGATGATTAGATCCCCAGCTAAAAATACCTATCATTAATTTACATCATGACAAAGTCTGAAAGTGCTGCTTCCTCTCGTGTTTCCCTCACTCTCCAGCCTTATCCCTCATAAGCACATGAGGACGGGCTGTTTTAATGAGGGCATAGTGGACCATCGGGGACCCAGAGCCACAAGTCCTCCGTTGTTATCAATTCAGTCCTCTTCAAAAGGCCCCGATGAGACACTTCATTGCTTTGTTCTGCTACCCCCCCATCGAGAATTCCCCGAAAGCCTCCATTGTGTCCTTTCTCGCAGATGCGAGATGACGTTCTTCCCTTTTCTGTCTTTATACGACTGGAAGCAGAATGTAGAATCGTCAAATTGCTGACAATCCAATGCCGTGCATATCGTATTTGATGTTCCTTCTCGTGTATGAGATCCTTCAGGCATCATGTGACTGCTCGCTAACCTGCAGCTCTGGAAAAGACATGTTTTGAAGTAACTTTCAAAAAGACAGGATGTCCAATCGTAGCTTTTCCAAGCTCAACAGGTCTGTCTCGCTTTGTGTTTCTTCACATGTTGAAGTGTTGTGCAGACGAGACGCATTTTTAGAAGCGCCTAAACGTTCTAAAAATGTGTGATTGTAACTAATGCAATGCTTTTATCTGCGAGTGCAACTATTAGCATGTTAGGCCAACAGCTTTGTATTGATCTTACCTACTGTGTGGAGGTTGGGGGACATACAAAACAATTACAGATTCAATTGTAATGCTACGAAAGAGAGCTATAACATTTGTAAACAGACTGGATTATCTCAAACTAACCAACTGCACAGTTGAGTAATAAAGTACAAGGAAAGATTGTAGATTGTTAGTTGCGAAACAAGAGGGAAAAACGTTGTTATAAGAATAATATATTGCGAGAGTGAACTGGAAACATTACAAAGGTCAGACACGTTTAATCACCTCATGGAAATAACCTTAATTAGCAGCAGATAATATCATTAAAAACGTTCCTTTAATTAGACAGATCGGTACAGATGATAAAAACTGGTCATTTCAGATTATAAAATCACCAGCTGTCCGCTAAATAATATGAAAAGGAACAATCAGGGAGGCACGAATGTAATGTTTTTGAAGGGGTTTAGTGAGTAAATCTGTGGAGACATGAGTTGCTAAAAATATATCCCACTGTGCAAATCATACATTTTATTTATTTTTGCCAGATGGAAGCCTTTCTCACACGTTATGCGCAGAAAGTCTGGAGATAATTTCAGCTTTTACAGTTTCTTGCCATCATAAATGGTGTCATTTTGTTTAAGGAAAACATGCCTTTCAAAGCTTTCACATGGTTGTGATGTTCCGGACAGTAATGCACTGGAAACATGCTGCTTTCCTGAATGTCAGTGGAGTAAAAAACATTTCAGCTGAGTTTCTTGAGCTTGAGTATTCCCAAAAATGTCCCACCCAGCTTCCACACAGAACGAAGAGGGGAGCCTACTCTGCATGACGAGTGCAGAGCAGGGTCATAAGTATTCTGCAGGAGCGTGTACTCACAGGGGTTGTTACTGTCCTAACCGAAGGTAAACAGAGGGCTTGTTTGCCACGATGCACGGATACAGATTGTCCATCTGGGAGGGCACATTTGTGTGGCCTCCATTAATGCAAGCTAAACAATGTTACCCTGCAACATTAGCAAGATTAAAGGAGCAAAATGACACTTATCTCTGAGCATTAAACTGTCAAATGAGACTTTCTGTGAACTGTGTCTACCTTGGGCTGCTTCCAGGATGCTGTTGTTGTTCCAGGAGGAGGAGGAGGAGGAGGAGGAGGAGGAGGAGGAGGAGGAGGAGGAGGAGGAGGAGGAGGAGGAGGAGGACTCACGCTATGCAATGAGTTGTTGTTTTATTCACCCGGTGATTGGTATCTGAAATTGCTTTTTTAAATATAACCAGTCTTACCAGCAAGCTTGCTTCGGATAGCTTTAAAAGAACCCTTTCGTCGACGGGGTACATAAAATAAAGCTAGACGGCTTTATTACGGTGAAATGACACATAGTGCTTACTGTTGTGATGAAGATATCCTTTGTTGTAACATTAACCAGGTAGCTTTCATTAGTCTTTCATTAGCGACTAATTCCTTTTATTACGAGCTCTGATTACAAGCATCCTTCATTAATGCCCTTTTGGTCTTTTTCATAGCTTTTAAACCATGGGGTTTTCACAGCATTTACTTTGGAACAAAAGTTGATTAAATGCACCTTAAATATTATCCACATTCCCCACTTTCTAGGGATGTAACGATATATCGAATATCGCGATAAATAAATTAAAAAAATTCGATTTAAAAAAAAAAAAATTCAATTATTATTTCCTTTTTTTTTTTAATAAACCTTTATTCAACCAGGTGGTCCCATTGAGATAATCGATCTCTTCTTCAAGGGAGACCTGTCCAACATGGCAGCAAGTCGGTTACAACATGAACATAAAACAACAGATAACAATAAAGGACCTCGTATTGACAGGGCTACATGTACACACCTAGAGACATTGACAAGTACCAACAGTATATTTATATCTCGCCCTGTCAATAAGCCTCACCTTCTTGGCAAAAACTGTATTGTTGTTGAAGTGGTGGAGAGACAATGCACAGTTTGACCCATGGCCAAAGCATGTCTCTCTGTCCCAGCAACATCAGTACCAAGCAAGAGAGTTGTTTCCACAGCAGGGGATTTTGCAAACGCCCAAACATCCCAGCTTCTACCTGGAAATGTGGACATGCTCATATTCCTAAAAGATAACCTTGATGACGCTGAGTGAGTGAGTTAGGTGAGTTACTTGAACAACTAAAGTGAAACTTGATTTATTCTATTGCAGGGTCTGATTATTATATTGTTGACACTTTAAAATACTACTATCTACTAAAATGCTGTACAAATCAGATGTATTGTTTAATAAAGAAAACACATTTTTTCCCTTTATTTTTCAATATCGCGATAAATATCGTACCGTGGACTTTTTATCGCGATATTATCATACCGTGAGTTTTTGGTATCGTTACATCCCTACCACTTTCACATATTTCCGTTTGCTTTAACGTAATTCTTCAAAATAAGACTTTTAAAAGTAAGACGGGTGGTTTTAATGTATGGAAGCATTCCCTTAATAAAGATGGCATAACGGGGGAAAGTGAGGTAATGTGCGATACATGCCTTTGCGAGAGATAATCACTCCTCTCTCTGCACCTGCTGATTAAAATCATTATTTCACTTGAGGTTGGATCCAGAGGACAAAAGGTCTTCCTCTACAGATGTTCTATTCAATGCGACATCCTTTTCACGGGGAAAGTGCTTCTGAGTGGCAGCATGCATTCTTCAGTAATGTTTAAAGTCTGATGCAAAGAACTTTGTCAAGGTCACAGAAGCCGAGCGGTGTAGCTCAAAGTCTGTCAGCCGGACCGATAAACCCTGTCCCCTCGTTAGTCCTCCTCTCTCTCGCTGCCGCGTCGCTCAAGATCCAGAGAGAAGTCTTCCTCTGTTTTCTGAGCTTCATTCAAGTCTCCTTTTCTTCTCTTCGTGCCATCTGTACAACTAAATCACCTATCTTTCTTTTCAAGCTTTCCTTCTGTCCTTGACTGTTCCCCCTCCTGATGATCTAACTTGAAGCAGTTATAGCCATTGTTCCAAATGATAAGAAACAGAAATGAACACTTTTTGATGAACAAAAACGACCTCTTTGACAACTTTGCGTGACGTTTATCTGCTCTCCCCTGCACGGACCGTCTAAATGAAAGTTACTGAAGATCTTAAGTCACTTCTGACGATCTCATTAGACGAATATCTCTCTCAGTTTAACTCCATTGACACAAAATGCTCATTTGTTGTTCCCCAGAGGTCATTCCTCGGCTCCTGGTTATGTTGTAAGCACTTTATGTTAAATCTGTATCTTCCAACTTCACACACAGATCTGTCTTCTTACAAAAACAGTATCCTGCTGACGGGTGCATCCTCGATACACTGCACTGTTGTCACAATCTTGCAGTAAAATGTGGTCCCGCTCTCCGTTTTGATGACGAAGTTAAGAGCACAGCATGATGCAGCCTCCAGCTAAATATCAGGCCTTTTAATTACTCATAAGCCAGCGTGCTGCTTCATCGATCCTCAAAGTTATTCAATAACATTCAAAGAGGTCAAGTTACTCAAATGTACTCGGAGCAGAGGTCAGATTCATATGTTTAATTAAATCCTATTGATGTGCATCAACTAAAATCAATAACATATGAGTATATTAATGATGTATTCGTCTATATTCATTAACATTTAATTACACTTCTTTGGAAAAGAAATAGCTACCTTAACCATAAGTTACAATGAGTTGGTATGTGGGGCTCTATTTAGTTCATACATCTGCTTATTATATCACTTAGGTTGGTATGTTATTAGATTAGATTAGACATACTTTATCGATCCCACATTGGTGAATAGTTTTCTTAGGGTTAAATCAATTTAGCGAAAATTAAGCCTATTAAACGGCATTTTCCAAGGTCGTACATTTTGTAGCTTGTCTTCAATAAGTATATAAATGGTCCAAAGAGGTTGTGTTCTACAGTGTGCCTGAATGTAATCATTGCGTAGGTGTGTAGTGTGATTCTGTGTAGTTTATTGATGGCATCCCGTTGGGTTTGACGTCATCTGAACAGGACATCGCACGCTCACTGCTTGATAGCGCGGAGGTCCGTTTACGCCGGTTGTTAAGCAACATCGTTATGGGGAAATGCAAGTCTGCGTCCAAATGGTTGGAAGATAAGGAGGAAGGACAATCAATACTGTATATAGTCAATGTGAGGTGAAAGTGTGTCGCCAAGGTAACCGGTTAAAACTCAATGTGGCGATGAGGTCTTAAAATGTACGGAAAGGGTCTTCAAAGGTCTGACATCTGACTTCAGGATTCCTGCTGATTATACACTTGTGCAAGTTGCAGTTTTAATACATACAAATGTCTAATTTAAATGCAATGAGTCTATGCATATCGCTCTAGATGGTTTTGTTAATAGTTGTAATTTTAGTTGAAGCTGTAATTGATATCTTCATTGTCGTTTTATTTCAATAATTGTACTACTAACAATTACAGTTGGCCTGTAAAATGATACCCTTTTATTAAAGAATTTAGATTTCCCCGTCACCAGACGTTGCCTGTAATATGTCCACAGCTCACTGTCACAGTTAATATCCTACAGTAAGTATTATAGGGTTATTTTAAGCTTTGAATTGGTGCTTAGTTTCTGGAGGGGGTTCCAGTTATTGCAGGTTGGCCTTATTTAATATAATCGTTCAGTGGGTCACAAAAATGAGTTTTAATTCAAAGTGAGGGTGTGATGGTGCTTTTAATGCTCTTCTTCTTCTACAGGCTGGTTTGATATAGGACAGGGAGGAAGTTAGTAGCTCCACTTGCTGTTGTTTTTAATTAGTTACCTCATGTAAGGCATTGTGTGTCAATAGAAGAACAACAAGAGACATTTAGAGTCCGAATCGAGCTTACTGATGGGTAGGTTTACACATACTAGGAAGCAAACATTTACACCAAATGTAAATACACAAAAGCTACTTAAACAACTTGGAAGTGGAAAAACATGTGGAGGGATGTGCAGAATATACTCAGAAAGATATATTTGTATATTTATAATCTGTATATCGATGTTATTATGTAATAGAATACGATAAATAATGTGTTTTCGGTGTGCAGTATTTACAAATTAAGTAGGGAGACACTGGATATATTAAAGTTCCTGTGTGTGTGTGTGTGTGTGTGTGTGTGTGTGTTGTGGTGTGTGTGTGTGCTGTGTGTGTGTGTGTGTGTGTGTGTGTGTGTGTGTGTGTGTGTGTGTGTGTCTACAGTCTGTTAGCAGTGGGCACAAGTGAGCGCTCTCTCTGCACCTCAGTGGGATGATTTGGTGTCTGCATGTATCATCCTGTGTCTTTACAAAAAACACATGCGAAAATAAATAAATATCCATCCAATAGTCGCTCGTATTGCAGCAGACTGTGCTCAGTGCCGTTGGCTAAGGTTATGGAGCTCAACGCACCGAGTGAAGTACGCCTTTCAGTGCAAAGAATATTCTCTCAGTCCCCTAAGCATTGTTGGAAAGTCTCGTTTTGTTCATCCATGCTCAAAAGTCAACGGGGTTAAAAAGGGGGTGAAAATGTTCCTGAACTATCAGTAGAAGATGAGCTGCTTTGTTTATGTGACTGACACACGTATTACCTCGTCTGATGAATAATAAGTGTGAGTTCCAACACTCGACTGAGGTTTATTTTATGACCCGTTGCTGTTAATTAAAATCAAATCAGCTGTTTAATCAGCGTATGAAACATGGCATTCAGAAACACTTTACCTTCCAGCAGAACCTCTGATTAAACACACCGGTTCCTAATTGGCTCTTAAATTACCTATACATTAATAAATATACCAATATCCTTAAGGGGAAATAAAAGCCTTTATCTACTCATGTTGGTACACAAAACAACCTGGGCTTTTTTGACATTAAAACAGCATTTTTAGTATAGCCCCAAAAACTTGTATTATCCTACCTTGGCTAGTGTCGTTTAAAATATAAAGATAATTGCATATCTATTAATCATCCTAATTGGGATTATGTCAAATCAGCATTTTAACAGGCATTCAGGATGAGTTGAAAAATGGAAAATCAATACAAAAATTAACATAAACTGTACATGTACATGCTGTACATACATTAAACATCTGGTCCAGGCTCTCGTTATCTCACGCCTAGACTACTGAAACTCTCTCCTGGCTGGTCTACCTGCATGTGCCATCCGACCTCTGCAGCTCACCCAGAATGCAGCGGCTCGTCTGGTTTTCAACCTTCCTAAATGTTCCCACACCACTCCGCTCCTCCGCTCCCTTCACTGGCTTCCGGTAACTGCTAGAATCCACTTCAAGACACTGGTACTTGCTTACCATGCTGCGAATGGATCTGGCCCTTCCTACATCCAGGACATGGTTAAATGGTACACCCCAGCGCGTGCACTACGCTCTGCATCAGCCAAACGACTCGCTGCACCCTCGCTGCGAGGGGGACCCAAGTTCCGATCAGCAAAAACACGTGGGTTTGCTATCCTGGCTCCAAGATGGTGGAATGAGCTCCCCATAGACATCAGGACAGCAGATAGCTTGCACATCTTCCGGCGCAGACTGAAAACTCATCTCTTTCGACTCCACTTCGAGCGATAGAACTATTAACGAAGCACTTTATATACTAATAAAGGACTGGCTTACCTAAAGCCAGTTGAGTAGCACTTGAAATGTTTGGCTCTATGAAACCTGATGTACTTATATGATTCTGTTTTCTTCAAGGTTGTGTCTTCCTGGTCGAATGTACTTATTGTAAGTCGCTTTGGATAAAAGCGTCAGCTAAATGTAATGTAATGTAATGTAAACAGATGTATATCAATACAGTGTCTACAAAAGACACAATACACAGTGTAATGGCCCGTCCACACTACAGCTTCGACAGCTTCAAAAACGGTTTCCAACGCGTCTGCCCATTCACTTTGAATGGGGTCACTTTTTCGCCGAACTGCATTGTGGGAAGCAGAGCGGAGCTTTCCTGGCGTGTCAGGCTGCAAAGGTTGAGCAATGTTCAACTTTTGAAGCTTCTGAAGCTTTCGGTGGAAGCGTCAGCCAATCAAATCATATGCCAGTACAAGCTCTCGCCAATCAAACCGCTGCTTGTGTGTCAGGGGCGGGAGATTCATGTGATTGGTAGTTGGTCGAGCTTCAGACACGCCCAGCTCCAAGCTTTTTTTGAAGCTGTAGTGTGGACGGGCCGTGAGGGTCGAGTTAGAATACTCAAAAAGTAGAAATATTCAAACATAGGCTGATTGTATTTGAGGAGATTTGCTGTTAATATGCAGTGTGCAAAGCAGGTGCACTTTTTAATTGAAATGTATTTACTTGCAGAGTTAGTGTGTAATAAATGTACAGACTATTTCAGTAAATATACTTTATTCATCCTAAATTGGGATTGTTTCAAATCGGCACGTTACAAGCGTTCCAGAATGGGTTAAAAAAAAAGTAGAAATATACAAACTATATCTGCCAACACTCTCACGTCATTCAAACAATCCCTCAAAACTCACCTTTTCACTCTGGCCTTCAACTCCTCATCCATGAACCCCTCGCCCTTATTCCACCTAGTTTACCACCTTTTTACTTTTGTTGTTATTTTTCTTCTTTACTTGCTCGTGAAGCGCTTTGAACACCACGAAAAGCGCTATATAAATCACATTTTAAAGCTCATCCTCTCTCTGCAGGCGACTATGTGGTGCTGACGGTGTACTTCGACCTCAGCAGGAGGATGGGATACTTCACCATCCAGACCTACATCCCCTGCATCCTGACCGTGGTTCTGTCCTGGGTCTCCTTCTGGATCAAGAGCGACGCCACGCCCGCTCGCACCGCTCTAGGTACACATTTAATGCTATATGTTGTCGTGGATCCGAAACCTTAGACACTGAAGACATAACCAAATATATAACAAAATAGAAACACAGACAGACTGCTGATTGAAGGAGTTATTATATTGTTGTATTTAAGCGTCAGAATACTTCCGCCAAGAGTGTCTCTGTAAAGAATCTCACAGGTTTGATCCACTTCTTTTTAGTTTGGACCTTTTACGATCACATGCTCAATAACACGCTGCAGACAGACATGTGCACATTCAAGGTCTCTTAAGTTAAACTAAAGGATGAAACTCATGAGCATGGCTTTCAACACATGATCATATGTGGAGCCTGGGTTGATGACAGTGTCATTAAAGAGGGCTTGTTCAACCTAACCCCCAGTTAATTATATTGCAATATGCTTTCTGTTACACCCACCATGTTGGCAAAGATCTCCCTCCTCCTAGTGGTTGATTAGTAGTCGGGAAAAGTGTCCAATATTTACTTTAGTGATCAGGATCCATATTAAACTCCCTGCCCCGGCTGTCGTTTAATAACAGGGACGTGAATTGAAAGTTGTTTGCAGGATTTAGAGCTTTTTTAAAAAAAAACTAATTCCCATTCAATCTGAGATTTAGGACGCTTGAAAGCAATAATCTCGGCCTTTGCTGATGTAGTTATTACAGGCAAAAGCAATCATTTTACTAGTGTGTGTGTGTGTGTGTGTGTCTCACTGTATATCGATGCATGTCACCTTTAGCAGGTCATTAAGCCATCTTTGATATGTGTGTGTTTCTTGCTTTCTTTTGTCCATTCTTCAAGTGTTAATCCAATTTCTTTTTGCACGAGTTAACCATCATTTCTTGTATTATGTTCCTCCCACTGCATGCCTCCCATTAGCTCATTTGCTTTCCTGTGGATGATGATGATGTTGTGCTGGTGGCTGTTTAAAGTGGAGTCCAAGGTAAGCATCTAAAGAGTACATGCCCATACTGTATATGGTAATATTAAAGTGAAGATGTCTGAATGTACAAATGTAGTTAATGACCTTTTCTTGACAGTAATGGGGCGAAGCCTGCGAGCTAGTTCAGGCAGTCAACTCGAGCACTTATCTTGCATTCATACATAACGCCCCTTGCCACTCTACAACCAACCAAACAGAGTGTCCTTAATACGCCGCTCTATTGAACCTGGAGATCTCTCTCTATGCATTGCTTGCTGCTGCTATTGCTGCAGCTACTTCCACGTCGCTGCTGCTTGCTGCCCCACCACTACCCCAGCTTCCACCCCATCTCCCGCCCCAGCTCCAGCTAGCTTCCGCCCCAGCTCCCGCCCCAGCTCCCGCCCCCGCCCCAGCCCCAGCTCCCGCTCCAGCTCCCGCCCCCAGCCCCAGCTCCCGCCCCAGCCCCCGCCCCAGCTCCCGCCCCAGCTCCCGCCCCCGCCCCAGCTCCAGCTCCAGCTCCCGCCCCAGCCCCCGCCCCAGCTCCCGCCCCCAGCCCCCGCCCCAGCTAGCTTTCCGCCCCAGCCCCCGCTCCCGCCCCCGCCCCAGCCCCAGCTCCCGCACCAGCCCCAGCTCCCGCCCAGCCCAGCTCCCGCCCCAGCCCCCAGCTCCCGCCCAGCTCCCGCCCCAGCTCCCGCCCCCGCTCCCGCCCCCCGCTCCCGCCCCCGCCCAGCTCCCGCCCCAGCCCCAGCTCCCGCCCCCCGCTCCCGCCCCCGCCCCAGCTCCCGCCCCAGCCCCAGCTCCCGCCCCAGCCCCAGCTCCCGCCCCCAGCTCCCGCCCCAGCTACCGCCCCAGCTCCCGCCCCCGCTCCCGCCCCAGCCCCAGCTCCCGCCCCATGCCCCCGCCCCAGCTTACCGCCCCCCGCTCCCGCTCCCGCCCCAGCCCCCACGCCCAGCCCCCGACCCCAGCTCCCGCCCCCGCCCCCAGCCCCAGCTCCCGCCCCAGCTAGCTTCCGCCCCAGCCCCAGCTACGCCCCCAGCTCCCCGCCCCAGCTCCCCGCCCCCAGCTCCCGCCCACAGCTCCCGCCCCCAGCCCCAGCTCCCAGCCCCCAGCTCCCGCCCCCCGCCCCAGCCCCAGCTCCCGCCCCAGCTCCCGCCCCAGCTCCCGCCCCAGCTCCCGCCCCAGCTCCCGCCCCAGCTCCCGCCCCAGCTCCCGCCCCCCGCCCCAGCTCCCGCCCCAGCTCCAGCCCCAGCTCCCGCCCCAGCTCCCGCCCCAGCTCCCGCCCCAGCTCCCGCCCCCAGCTCCCGCCCCCGCCCCCAGCCCCAGCTCCCGCCCCAGCCCCAGCCCCCGCCCCAGCCCCAGCTCCCGCCCCCCGCCCCCAGCCCCAGCTCCCGCCCCAGCCCCAGCTAGCTTCCGCCCCCAGCCCCAGCTCCCGCCCCAGCTCCCGCCCCCAGCTCCCGCCCCAGCTCCCGCCCCAGCCCCAGCTCCCGCCCCAGCTCCCGCCCCCAGCTCCCGCCCCAGCTCCCGCCCCCGCCCCAGCTCCCGCCCCCGCCCCCGCCCCCGCCCCAGCCCCCGCCCCAGCCCCAGCCACCGCCCCCGCTCCCGCCCCCGCCCCAGCTCCCGCCCCAGCTCCCGCCCCAGCCCCAGCCCCAGCTCCCGCTCCCGCCCCAGCCCCAGCTCCCGCCCCCGCCCCAGCACCCGCCCCAGCTCCAGCCCCAGCTAGCTCCCGCCCCAGCTAGCTCCCGCCCCAGCTCCCGCCCCAGCTAGCTCCCGCCCCAGCTAGCTCCAGCCCCAGCTCCCGCCCCAGCTAGCTCCCGCCCCAGCTCCCGCCCCAGCTAGCTCCCGCCCCAGCTAGCTCCAGCCCCAGCTAGCTCCCGCCCCAGCTAGCTTCCCCCCCAGCTCCCGCCCCAGCCAGCTTCCCCCCCAGCTCCCGCCCCAGCTTCTTATATAAGTACATATGTACTTGCATATGTCAAAGAATAATTCTTCCTTACTCCCAAGATATTTAACCTTATTGCCTGTTGACGTTAATAACAAATCCTGCCGACAACGCCAATTTGTAAGGGAAACTTCTGCAGCAATGGAGAGTCAGGACTCAGAGAGACACGAGGAGAGTTGGAGCTTTGATGTCAAACAATGATAGTTTATTGCAAGGATACGGCCGGAGAATTTACATGGCAACCCACCCGTGCAGTCAGAACCTTTTGCTGCTGTGACTTGTGATATGAATTCTCCGGCCGTCATTGTTTGACATCAAAGCTCCAACTCTCCTCGTGTCTCTCTGAGTCCTGACTCTCCATTGCTACAGAAGTTTCCCTTACAGTATACATACAAAAACTGTGTACAGTAGCTTGCAATTAAAAGTGAAATATATCCTGTAGAGATGCAGAAGTAGTAAGTAAATTAAAAACCTAATTGTGTATAAAATAATATGGTTTTGGTGGAATTGTTTATTACCCTGTTGTTTACTCGGACCTGTGGCTGAATACAAATGTGCATAGTTTAGGAATCACAGTAAGACACTGGACGACAGTGCAGACTCATGGTTTGACTCATCAGTTTTCTTATTAGTTGCAGTTAAACGAAGCCTTGTGGAGATCTAGATTATGATAATTAATTGTTGTTGTGGTGCAAACTGCTGCTTGTAGTCTAAAATAGGTCCCTTGTGATAAAATGAAGAGATGTTAGATGACTTAGCCCTTTTCCCACTGCCCTCCTGCACCTAGTATCTGTTTTATAACTGTGCTTTTGTCTTTTAATTCGGGAGGAGCTGTTCATTTACTCCCCTGGTGTGAACTCTGTTGCAATTTAACGGCGTAAATTGAAGTAGAAATTAGAAAAACAACTCAACGCTCCCCGGTGGTACCTGTTGAAGGAGATTAAAGTCAAACACGTGAACTCACTTGATACTATCCGACCTCTCCATACTCCTGCCACCTTTACCCACAGTGTCACACACACACACACACAGTATCACACACACACTTGAATTCCTCTCAGTCCCTGTTGCCACTCTGCCAATATCGCAGAAGGTCATCTGGAACGCCCCGGCGGTTCTCAAGAAGTGATATTGAAGTTGAGTCCAGCAGAAAGTTCTCTAATCGCTGTGAGAGGAAAGTCTTCTCGTGTGATAATTAAATGGAGGCTTTATGTCCTCGTGCTGTTAATGAGATACGATCGTGATACAAGGTTGTGTTGTGCTCGGCTTCTTTTGTATCGTTAGGTTGATCAAAGTGGATTATTTGTTGCTCTTTGCTAAAGGCTTATTAATTACATTGTTGTTGTTGTTATCCTTGAGAGTCTGTAAGTACATAACCTGGATAAACAATGGTTAATAGGATTATCTTCCCCACTTATTAAAACCTAATTGTGTATATGGCATGTTTTGTTTACACAATTTTGAAAAAATACATCTTATAACTAAAGAATTGAGAGGAACATATTTCTGCTGTAGTGTCAGACACATTTGAGAGGTCTTACTTCATAATGATGTTGCTAGGCTACAAACGAACAATTCACTACCATTGAATCAGAGTTATAGCTTGCTTCTGCGGCATTTACTTATGGTGTGTGTGTGTGTGTGTGTGTGTGTGTGTGTGTGTGTGTGTGTGTGGGTGTCTTGTGTGTGTGTGTGTGTGTGTGTCTTCATGCAGGTAGGTGTGTGTGTGTGGGTGTCTTCATGTGTGTGTGTGTGTGTGTGTGTGTGTGTGTGTGTGGGGTGTCTTTGTGTGTGTGTGTGTGTGTGTGTGTGTGTGTGTGTGTGTGTGTGGGTGTCTTCATGCAGGTAGGTGTATGTGTCTTTATGCAGGTGTGTGTGTGTGTGGGTGTGTGTGTGTGTGTGTGTGTGTGTGTGTGTGTGTCTTCATGCAGGTAGGTGTGTGTGTGTGTGGGTGTCTTCATGCAGGTAGGTGTGTGTGTGTGTGTGTGTGTGTGTGTGTGTGTGTGTGTGTGTGTGTGGGTGTCTTCATGCAGGTAGGTGTGTGTGTGTGTGTGTGTGTGTGTGTGTGTGTGTGTATGTGTGTGTGTGTGTGTGTGTGTGTGTGTGGTGTGTGTGTGTGTGTGTGTGTCTTCATGCAGGTAGGTA